TGTCTGAGAGTCAGAAATCTATTAATAAAGAAACGAGCGACGTATATACTTTTTTTCTTTCTCCTAATTTGCCTTTCACGTAGTATTGAATGGAAAGAGCAAAGATAAGAAACGTAGCTTGCGCTACGCGACGGTACAAGTGGCAATATGGAAATGCGCGATTATGCAAGAAAGTCTCAGGCGTATTCTTCGAGATGAATACATGAATTTGTAGACACCTAGAACTCATGTCCGGAGGTATTAAATAAAAACGGCTAGAGGAAGAAAAAGAGTGATCGAAAAAGCGCGTCGGATCGGCCGAAAACTACTGGTAACGGTAATTACACGATAAACGGCGGAACGATGTAGAGACAAATGTAAATGATTTTACGAAAGAGATAACATTACGGGGGTAAAGAGCGCGTACAAATATTAGCATCGAAATAACTCATTGTTGATTAAAGTGAGTCCCGAGTGACCGCAACTTCCACTAAATTTAACCCTATCCGATATAATTTGCTCGCAACACAACCATAAGTGAGCGATAAAGCACCGAGGGGGTTGAAAGGGCAGAGGCGCGCAAAGGGACTAATGCTTAATGCTTATTAGACCGTATACGTTATTTACTACCCTTCGGACGTCTGATTAAAATGGCATAGCACCATTGGGTCGTGATCTTTGCAAATAATTACTTCGGAACCCTGGGACTTTGGAAGCTCGCGCGATAGTATCGATAACAGTGGATCGATATCAATTTGTAAATGAATATTTAATCCGACAAAGATGTCCACTGTAATCGATTAAAACCCTCGAATGGAGCGTTTAATGAGTAATATAGCCGCCATTTATCCCGAAGTTGGTTATTAGGTGAAGTTCTTACTGGACTACTTACTGCACTTATAGACTCGGGAAGATAACTTTTTAGTTCGCGATCGTTTTATTTCTCTTTCTATATCCTCCGAGTCTCCCGCGAGTTTTGTTAAGTATCTCTATAATAATGCCGTTATCTTATTTCCGCGAGACATGAAAATGCAACACGCAATTAGAAATTATGTAATACGGTACACTTAAATGAACAGTGAGAGGTTGTGCTAATTAATGTTTCAGTAGCCGGGAGTGCTTCCTCGATGCCAAGTGATGGTGGGACATTTTACGAGCAAACAAACGGTATAAATTGCAAAATGTCCGCGAAACAAGTCTATCGCGTCCCATATTCTGATGACATTTGCACGATGATATTCCAAGATGTAATCAACAATACGAATTTGTATGTAAGTGTCGCAAAAATGTGAGTTTTCAACTCGGTCGACAAAAGCCCTTTTACAGCCGTTGTTTCAGGAAATGGAGGTTTGAACACCATTTCCGCTAAACGGAGACGTCAGCTTTGTAGAACTTTATCCGTTCACGCACACACATACACATGCACGGCATCTCAAACATCTCGAGTACCATATATTGCAACGATTTGTAGTTCCCGCCATTATGTTTCTCGCGGAAAATACGGTTTCCCACTGACGTTATCAAGTCGCAATACCCGGCAAATAATAATCGTGCCACGTAAACGCAATGCGCGCCATATATCTAGCACGCGCAAGGCAAAAAGGGAGAAACTCGTTACCGTTTTTAAAGAACCATCAATCATCGTGTGAAACTGTATATTGTTCTCTGTTTTTTTTCCCTTTTACACATGAAACGCGTATGGCGTATGATTCGGCAAACGTTCGGGCAAGCAGATCTCGCGACGATGAAATGGTTTCTCGCTCTCCTTTCTTTTTCGCGCGATCATTATTAAACATTCTTCTCTAAAGTGCGTCCGAATCGCCGCCAATCAAGACAGACGCCGGTCGTGGAGACGGGAATTACGATCACGAGAATCGAGTCGGAAATTTCGTTTTCAAAACTTCCCCTCACAAGATGTTGATCGGAACTGTCGGAAGCGAATACTTTCTGCTCGAACTGATTGAAACTTACAGGCCGATAATTGGATCGCGGCCATCGCTATCGAGTGCGCGTAGGTCGAACGAATGCAATCGTTGCCTTGTCGGACCTAGCATATATATATATATATATATATATATATATATATATATATATATATATATATAAAAGGACGCCGCACTAAGGATTGAGTCGACAGACGGCGCAACCCATGGATTTCTTTTATAAATCATTTCTAATAGACGCTTCTCTGAGTAGATATCGCCATGCGCGCGCTCGCGTATATACGAGTTATGGACTTGCGCTTGTCGGAAAGTAATGACATCGGAGTTTCGACTTCGATCAGCCATAAAATGGCTTTACTGTTGGCGGCACGTCGTACGGAAGGTGTTACTATTTGAACGCATTCCGCCGAAATTCTCCAGAGGCTCGGCAGCTGCGCTTGATTTCTTTTTCGCTTTTATTCCCGATGTTGTCGCGTCCCGCGACTGTTTCTGCGTGTACGTGTGTATGTGAATTTATAGAGCCTATTTTTTCCTCTTTTGTACAAGAAATGTCATATTGCGAGCCTCGTGATATTTTTAGACACGAGCGCAAGGGGAGAGCGACTCGTTCATTTATCATTGCGAAAATTGTAACGGGGCGAGTACCTTCGGGGCCGTTTGAGATATGAATTTTTAGTTCTTTATATAGCGTACAAAATTAAAATATCCGCGCGTATGTTTCATGCAGTGACCAAACAGCTGTGTCTGTTGGAGTCGTACATCAAAGTGTTTTATACGACAAAAAACTATATCAGTTTTAATTAAATTAGGAATAATATAATCTAATTGCTTTCTTTTAATTGATTGCTCCTCCTTACAGATCTCTCAAAAATTCAAAGACAAATATCTTTGCAACTTCCTGAGTCGAAATTTTAATCCTACTTTTGACCTCGATATTCCACTTAATGTTTAATATTCTAAATCTTTAATATTCTATTCTTATATCAATTTCTTTGGATTCTAATCAAGCTACTAGCTTTGTTGAAAAGTCATTTTTAAAACCTACGAGTGGCATTTTGTGTGTTTTCTGTCGCTTAGAATAAAAAACTTCAGTTTCCATGTATATTAAATAACATTGATCTTTCCAAATATATAGATGTTAGAAAGTTCAGATCAAAAGTTTCGACTTATTACGTTTCCTCAATCATATCTACCCAGCCAAAATGCGCCCGTTCTAAAAGGTGCAAACATAAAATCGATAGTAGTATTTCGCGTTTTTACCAGTACGCCGTTCGCAGAATTTTATATTTTTGGATGCAACTTTTATACGATGCAGATGTTCGCGATATTCCCCTACAATTTTTGTTTATATCTATATGATTTGCATGTAAAGCATCATAACGCTCTTATGCTGATGTTGTATCTCGAATGAACTACGTATATCCGAACGAAATTTATTTCCTTCAATAGTCTCGTATGTTTTCAACGGGCAGTTTAATGTACAAATCTGCATTTATCGCGATTACTGAGTTGTTATGTATAAATAAATAATACGTTTCCTCGGTTGTACAAAACGTTTATCGTTAAAAATAATCTTCGGAATATAGATTTATGTTATTCTCAGGCATGTAGTATAAATTTTATTGCAAACGCGCTTTTGAGAGAGAGAGAGAGAGAAAGAGAGAGAGAGTAGCAAGTATATCGTACGGTTTATGAATGATGTTATATCGAATTCATAAAGCATAATATGACGAATGCACATTCGGCCAGACTTCACTTTTAATGCACCTATCGATATGCAGCAGTATATCTGTGCATATTGGGACGTAATTTAAATGCATTAATCCTTTGAGTGGTGAACTATGATGTATCGTCATATCATGCGTATGCCTGGAGTGCCAACGGAGATTTATCGTCGTTGCTGCAACATTCAAGAGATAAACAAGACAGGCGTACTTGAATTTTAGGCGAAATTTTATTAAATCGTTCTGAAATTAATAATTTATATTTTCGTAATGAAATAATATCGCAGCGATATTGTAATAAATTATATCATTACATTTTTTTTTAAATAAACCTTCGTTGGCAATTTGATAACACAGATTTTTAGAAGAAACAGCTCGTTTGAAGAAAACAAAGCTACTAAATATTTCAAGTGATTGACGTAAATTGTCGATAACTAGTAACAATTTTTTATCATATATCATAAATTTTCAATAAAAAACATATTTCAAGAACAACGTCAACAGTATTGGAAAGTAACGTAATGTGTGTACTTTTTTAAAGAAATTAGCAAAGTAAAATTGCCTTAGCGCGCACGTGAGAAACTTAATTTCAAAAGACTGTAATTTTTCTGGGTTTTAATATTTTACTATAAAATTTGATATAAGTTTACATTATATATTAATACAAATGTTTTGCTAATTGCACAAGACGAAAAACAAAAAGTTAAAGGGCTATGAATTTAAACTTTTCATGCGCGCGGCAAAGATGTTTTACCCTCTTAAGTAACCGTAACTAACCTATGTCATCCAAACTCATGCATCATGCAAACGAAATAGCTTCGTGAAGTTTTTTTTTTGAAGGAAGAATGAGGGATCTTTCAAGCCACCTCCTTTAAACATAAACCATACTCGTATGGCTGCACATGACAAGCAGGATCCGCGAAATATAAGCAGGTCCCGAAAGTAACTCGCTACTATTAATTCTAAGTTCAACCATAAGAATAATTAATATGATGAATTGATGATGCCAACTGTCGATTGTAGTCTATTTTGCATTTTATTTTTATCATTATATTATTATCGAAATGGCACATCTGGTGCCGTACAGTTGTTGCCGATTTAGTAAAAAATGTCTGCAAAATATTTACGATAAAAATGCACGACATTTGCAGAGGAAAAAAATATTTCGTGGAAAAATGCGCGCAACTGTGCAAGCGGCCTAAAGCGAAAAAAGAAGTAGTCAATATGAATAACGCTCAGTGTAGTTTCTACTTTATGTCAGGCCGGTATCCGCTTTGTCGACGTTTGGGCGTGCGCAAACAACCCGCGTAAAAACAAACGTTGCCGAAGGGAGTCGGAAAGTGGTTATACTCACCGGTGCGCACCAACACGTTAAGCAGGACGTAGAGGACGAGGGTGGTGGCTCGGTACCCGTGTATTATGATCATTAGCCACCTCGATGCGTTGAATCCTGCCGCGTGCCATAGACCCGTGCCCTCGTGCACCATATTTTTCCGGCTCGCCCTTTCAAGCCCGCCTGGCCACCGTGCGTTCCTGGCCGCGTCCTCATTCACCAGCACTCTGCGACCACGTATCGCGACTATGTAACATTGGGGGTTATCGGCGATACGCGGCGAGTCTCGGTTCACCCACACGGGATTGTGGCAGGTCGATTCCACCCCACCCGGGCGAGCCGAGACGTCGAGCACTCGTTTCGAGAAAAACGATGGAACGTTAGCCGCGCCGCCGAGGTGCTCGAAAATTCCTGACGCGATCTTTTCCGCCAACCAGTTTCGACACGTTACAGTACGCGAACATTACAGAACGTATAAGCCGACAAAGAGAAGAAGAGAGTACGGGGGAATTCAGCCTTGTCCATGACGCGATATCACTATGGGGACTGATTCTTCCGGCGACATTTTATTCGGAGGGGCATGATGCGGGATTAGAGATAACTTTTGAATTCGTACATCGAAGGATTACGCTTGTGAAAAATAGCACGGAGCGTTAAGCTTCTGGAAGCTGTTAAAAGGGTAATGGTGAAACCTCCTTTTAGCAGGTGAATAGTTGGCGTTAGTTACGAGGACTCCGCAGTCTCCCGCAGAGAGGGTGAGTGAGAGAGAAAGAGAAGAGGGATTACAGACAAAGGTATTCGGAGCAATGTAGACGTATACTGCGAAGAAAGCTGTTTGTTAAATGAAGAAATCGCTGCGTTGACGCAACAATGCAATAGCATTTCTAATTGTAATAACTGGACCAGCCAAGCATTGATCGCATTAATCGTGAAATGATTTCTCTCTTTGGTATAAAAGATTTTTTTACAAAAAATTATTTTACAAATGCAAAATCAAGCAATTATTTGAAAGAGAACAGAGAGTAATGGTAGATATTTTAATTCCGTTTTATATTTTGTTTAATCACTATTAATAAAAGAAATATCATTAAAATTCTAGTAAAATTTTGCAAGCCCTTAATAATTTCCTACTAACGCACAGTAAGTCTTGAATTAGAAAAAAAGTAACATTTCTTTCTTTACATGTAAAATAAACCGGCTATGCTAACAGATTCAACTGTATGAGTTTCAAATTTCCTCGGAAAGTATGAAAATTTTAAGAAGTTTTATATTCTTTATCTCTACATTTTTAATCTCTCACGCGGACACACAGCATCGCATCACTATCATAATGAATTATTTTATCGCGCTAAGGTGCACGTGATTCATGTACTAAAAACATATAAATTGCGTATGCATAGCACGTTGATTGAGATGTTTACTAAAGCAGATTTTTGCGAGAACGGAACTGATCGCCCAGCTTTACTTACGACCGGCGAGAATCGATCGGTATGTGTCGGGTTGCTCGAGATGCAGTATAGTTTGATGATCATCCTAGCGTGGCACGAAGGAAGTCGATGGTACCTATTAATGCGAGTAAACAGGTTCGTTGATCTCGAAATTTCCCGGTTCTATCGCGAAATAGTTGACAAGTTTCCGGAATAATTTCTGCCGACGTCGACAACGTTTCCGATTTGATGCCCGATACATCGGCACTTGAGTCACAAATCTGACTTTCCGCGTCAGATGCTCTGATGAGATGGATTAGGGTCAATGGAGACTTAAAATAATCTGTACTTTACGTTATTACATATTCTGGGGTAGATGCGGATTCATTGGCGGATGTGAGCGCACCCTATTTCATACTACAAGATTCTTGCCGGAACAATTATATCCTGAATTGGCAAATAAATATTTAATAATAAACGGGACTAATGTTCCTTTCTGTGTCATTACGTCATGTTCTTCTCGTACAAATTATTTGTCTTTGGGAAAATAAGTTTCTAAATGATTGAAGGAACCAAATAATTAACGAAAGATGATTTGATGAAACCGATCCACAAATATACATCAATGAAGTAATTTAATAAATAAACAAAATAAAAAATATATGCAGGGAATATTATAGTTTTTTTCTTATAAATTCTTTTCAATTTTATTATATTCCTTATACTAGAAAATAAACCGTCAGTAAAGCCTATCTTGCCAAGCAACATAGCAAATTTTTTAATACCGTACATTTCAGTTTCCAGATATATAATATTTATATAATATATAAATTTTTTATATATACTTATATAATAATATAAATATGTAGTATATTTTTACTATAAAATTCTCTCCGTGTAGTTGTTATTTTTTAATAGGAAATAATAGATATGACAATATGGTGATATTTGCAACGAGATTTATCTATTCATGCTGAATAGCCCAATGTGAAAACGAAATATCGCAGCGCCATTAACCTGTCGCTCAAAACCTAAGACAAATCAATTCCACATGGCGCTTCCACGTCAAGGCGCTTTTTCCGCATTAAGGAAATGCATGGCGTAAACCGAGTTTCGACATTGTCAGAAACACGAAAGTTTTCCTCTCACGAAACAAGGTATCAGGACTCGTTTGCACGGAATGTGTCTTAAAGCGCGTCACCTCGACGAGCAAAGCTCTTCGCTTAAATCTTCCTTCGCACCGCCTATCTCCTGTCCTTCTTCATTCGACTGACGTTACTATCGTATAACAATATAACCCAGGAGACAACCGCGCAGCAAGTTGTGAAAACCGACTAGATTGTTTAGGCCACGTAGAGACTGCCGAGCGAAATCCCCGCGAAAGCGTTCAACCTTAGCGAAGGGAGTTCGTTAGTACTGGCTTATATAGAATATCATTCATATGGCAGTTCAAGATCCTGCCTCACAATAACAACGAGAAGTTGTTATCGATTTAGTTTGTACACTTGGCGATAAGAGCAATACTCGTATAAAACAATAGTTACGCATAAAATAGGAGAGACCAGACGTCTCATTGGCCCAAGAGTAATGTTAGTCATGTGCTTTGTTCCTGTACTTATCGCGCGAGGAACAGTGGAAAGGAAATCGCAAAATGTTCCTTGTAGAACATAGGTACTTTCTCTCTGAGTTTCATTAAAGTCGGAATAATATTACAGTTAAAAAGTAAAAAAGCTGATTTATAAGCTACCGAGTACATTTCCGAGCACCTCGACATTTCGCGTTAATATTCTCCATCGTGAACGAATAAACTTAAAGACATATTACCCGTTTAGTCTCTGCCACTGAAAATTAGAAATACGCTAATATTCCTACCTTTTGTGTAAAAATGTATAGCGTATATATATGATATAATTAAATAACATTTTTATTTTAATATTACATTTTAATAGTTTCTTTACTGTATGTTATATTATTTCTAATTTTTTTAAATTTTTATCTCTAAATCACAATGAAACTTTACACGCATCACTTTAAATATTTAAAAAAAAAATATATATATACACAAAAACTGTGATTTCTTTCAATACGTTTTTAGTTACTTTTTCCTTTGCTAAAGATAACAACATAATATATTTCCATGTATGATAGCACTGTTTAAAATATTCTCAAATAATAGGATGACGTCAAATGACATATTAATGACATAATATTGGCATTAGAAACGTTAATGATGTGTTATTAAAATGTCATTTAATTTAATGTCATTATATTTGGTTTACAAAATGGAATAACTTTTAATTCAGATTTAACATTGATCTGAATCAATGTTAAATTGTTTGTAATCGTTGTTAATGCAGTATAGATTTATTTCTAATTTTTTCATTACTTTTGATTTTATTGGGCGATACTAAGTGACATAAAGAAAAATTATGTCTATCACAGTTAATCACAACAATCAGTCTGAAAAATTGTAACTTCAAAATTCTGAAAAGTGGAATATCTTGCCCCGATCTCCTTTACGTACACTTGCCAATTATTTTCGAGTCGAGTCCATTTAAATCCGTAAAGTGCTATTTTAATGACTAAAATTAGAAACACGATCGAGCGAGAGTGGAAAACGCGGTCATACGACATTTCACTGCTCGCGTAGAAATCTCGGAATCAATTTTACGCGACTTACGCCGCCACCTGGAGAGAAACCACCTTCCAGATCCTTCGGACGTACGACGCTGAGAAATTCCACTCGTTGGATACGCGCGATGATTTTTAACGGTAACGGGCTTAGTGTCGCGCAGCTTCTTTCAACGTCATACTTTATACCGCGAAGTCTTTGAACGCATTCTTTTCGTAACATTTCCCCGTCGAAAACGTGCAGGAACGAACACCTGTGCGTATGCCTTGTAGCAGAGCATGCTGGCGCGCACGTTTGTGCCATAATTAACTGCTACTCACGAGAATGAGTCGAACTCTTTTTTGAATGGGAAACTTTACGTCGTCGTCGTAGTTTCAGCGACTTGAAAGAAGAGGGTGGAATTAATATCGAGCCCCGAGAAGAACGAGGAAACGTTCCCTATGGGCGCTACCCACGGATCCTTTTTTTCTGCTCGACGACGTCTGCAGCGACACGTAAAACGACGTTTCGTCGACGTAATTACTCGGAGACCATTCGGCTCAGTATTGCGCGGCAACGTGACGACGCAGTGCAGGCTCGAACATCAAAGTTCACTTCTCCGACTGCTAATTTCGAATGCGAATGAAAGGGCCGCGCACTCACTCGGTGTTGTATGGCAGCGCTCTTCTGATGACCGGGCAAATCTTGCACGAGTTAACGTTACACCTCGCGCGACAGTCCGTTCTCGTAATCCGTCGGAGTTCTTTTGAACATTATTCCGTTTGAGTAATATCAAAGTGGAGCAGGAAAAAAGAGAAAACGAAAGAACGTGTTTTTTTCTGAGATTTCCTCTGATCGTCACTTGCCGTTATTTTTTATCCATCGAATATCATTCAGGTGAATATCATTTCCGCAAGCAACCCGAGTCGAAATTTTCATCCTACTTTCGGCCTCAATGTTCCATTTAACATCTATTTTGATACTCTGAAGCCTACATCAATCTCTTCCCATTTAGTACAAATGTCCTAAATGTGTGATATCTCTAGGATGTGTGACGTCTCTGGAATATATTTTGGACATTTGTGTTGTTTGGGTTTTGATTCTATTTAACTTAACTTTGCCGAGGAATCTTCTTTAGAACCTATAAGTGATATTTTGTGTTTTCCATTTAGAGGCGTATTTTGTTTGC